GGGACAGGGGACATGGAGAGACATGTATGAGGACACGGGGACATGGGGAAATGTATGGGGACACTTCTGGGAACATGAGGACACGAACAGGGATATGGGGACGGGGGACAGGGGGGTGTGTTTGCAGACATGAGGACCCAGAGCCGTGGGGACACACATGGGGACATGGGGGCACAAGGACACTTATGGGGACAGGGGACACATTTGGGGACACGGGGACACAGCAGGTGCCGTTTCTGGGGCTGGAAGGAGCCATTCCTGGCTGAGCAGTAAATGCTTTATGGACTGCGGGGCCGCGCTGGGGAATCGCCCCCGGGTGTCTGCGGTTAATTACGGCCGGCAATTAATCTAATGACGAGAGAGGCAGAGCCACTGCGGGGGTGCAGGATGAGTGCAGGGCACAGGGCAGGCACCGGGCTGGCTCTGGCCTCGCTGGTTTGTCCCCAACGAGGTGGCCTCTGTCCCCGGCCGGGTTCGCGGTGCCGGCGCTGCCGCTGCTCGGAGGCTCCGGGGCTCGTTGGTGCCTTCGGCCTCTTCCTCTCTCCTTCCTCGCTCCTCAGGGCACGGCCCGAACCCCGCAGAGCTGCGCCAGACTCCGGGAGCCCCCGAGAGCCCCCGAGAGCCCCCGAGAGCCCAGCGCTCCCCGGTGAGAGCAGCTCGGCCCCGGGGCTGCCCAAACCCGCTGCCCCCCGCCCCGCGATGTTCGTGCCCACCCGTGCCCTGGCACCCGTTTGGGACCGCCCGACTGTGCAGCAGGACGGTGACAGGGACACCCTGAGCGCGACACCGCGGCCCCGAGCCCCGGCAGATCCCACGGGAGCGGCTCCCGCGGCAGCAGCTCGAGGTGTTCGGAACAGAGACGATAAATCCGGGCGGCGAGGAGGGGCAGCCGGGGGCGCCCGGGCAGGGACAGGGACAGGGACGGGCAGGGCGGGCGGGCGGGCAGGTCCCTGCGGAGCCAGGGCTGGAGGTGTGGCGTGGGCTGTCCCCGCGTGGGGCAGGACGGGTGGCAGCAGTCCCGCCCGGGGCGAGGTGGCAGGAGCTCGGCGCTGCCCGGAGCCGGGGATCGCTGCAGGTACCGGGACCCCGGGGGGAGCAGGGTGGCACCGAGCCACCCACAATCCCCCCGGGGCAGCGGGGGGTCACGGCGGGCAGATCTGGGGCTCCCCGGAGAGCTGCGCCTCTCCCCGTGGACCTCGTGGAGAAGGGGGGTACCCAGGGCAGTGCACCCTAAGGATGCCGGGCACGGGATGCTGGGCGCGGGGATCGGGATGCCGGCACATTTTGGGATCGGCGGAGCCGCCTTTTCACCTGAAACCACATCAAAGCGGGTGGAAAAACAGGGCGAGCGGAGGGAAACTCATGGCTCGGGCACGTCCTCGGAGTGGGGAAATAAACCCCGAGAGGCTTTTAATGAGCCGTGATGCACCCCAGCGCGGGGGCGTTTCCGGCGTGACGAGGGCGGGGGGAAGCCCCCACCCACCTGCTCGGCGTGTCCTGTGTCGCTGTCACCGTCGGATGTCGCGATGGGTGACACGGGATGGCCCGGGGCGCTGCTGGAGCGGGGTTGGCGGTGAGGGGGTCCCACGGGACACTGGGATCAGGTAAACAACAGCAGCGCTCACGGGGATGGTTACGGGGTCCTGTGCCAGCACCGGGAAAGGGACGAGGGTCAGGCTGGTCCCGACCCTCCTGGTTTTTGTCTGGGAAGGAGCAGGAGGGCACAGAGGTGAGCAGGGACCCCCCGGCCGTGCAGGACCTCCCGGGTGCTCCCAGGGAACCCAACTAATTCCTGCACCGGGCAACAACCCCACATTGATCCGGTGCTTTCAGGAACAGCACGGCCCCAGAAGCCCCGTGGCAGCGGGGTCAGGTCAGTGAGGGACATAAATCTCCACGTGTTTCCCCAGCCTGGGCCAAACCCTCGTGGCTCAACGCCCGGCCCTGCTTAAACCTGATTTTTGTTCAGCCCTGCAAACCCCCAACAGCCCAGAACTGCACTGCTGGGGGGAGGAAGCCCTCCTTTGGGTCCTGTTAGCACCCAGCAGCACCGTGGGGCTGCTCTGCAGCTGGAAACCTCAGGGATGGGCAGGATGGGACATTCCTTGCCGGGCTGGATGGACCAGCTGGATCATCCTGGTGTTGGGTTGGTGGAACAGCCCATGGGTTAGGAAATCACTGCTGGGCTCTGAGGTGTGGGGCAGTGCTCAGAGGGTGTCCTGGGAAGCCCCAGGCCGGGGCCAGTGCAGGGTCTGGCCGTGGGCCCACACAACTGGGGCTGGCAGGGGGCCCTGGCACCCACTCCCAGCCTGTTTCCGCCTCCCCAGAGCGCAGGTTTTATTTCTAATTACTGAGGCAATGAGTGAGGTTTGTCGAGAGCCTTCTTGGAACTGAGGTTTCTTGGATACCTCCGTGAAATTATTTTTCAAGTGCTTTAGATCACCCTTTTCCCCTCCCTTCCCCCCTGCTCCGGGCCCCACAAGAGGCATTTTTTTCCCGGCTGCCTTTGCACAGCTCTCAGCCCCTGGAGTGTCCCACATCTGCCAAGTGCAGGTGCTTAATAAGCCACACTTTTGTTTGGCACTGTTTGGGAACAGGGACACTTTGGAGCCTTGCTGGGTACAATGGGGCTCAGAGATGCCAGGCACGCTGGGGACGTGATGGATCACCAGCTCCAGGCCAGATCCTGAGCACAGGGGGCACCAGGACAGCCACAGACAAACCCAGGTCTCCGTGTGTGTCTCGGTGAGAAGCAGGGCAGGGCCCGACCCTTTGACCACCGTTGCTGGTCTGGAAGGAGAGAGCCCAGGAAAACACCTTGGCACTGATCACTGCCAGCCTCACCTCTAGGGCTGGTGTCCTGGAGAAGGGGGCGAGGTCAGGAGATGCTCTGAGCCAGGGCCAGGACCCCGAGGGCATGAACAGGAGTTAATGGCCCTGAGCAGCCTCACTGGGACCCCTCACCCATCACTGTGGGCTTGGGAAGCTCAGCCCAGGGGTCAGTTCTAGACCAAGCCCCCAGGTAGGTGGGTCTGCTCCAGCTTGGCCACACACCCGTGCCTGGCCATGGGCCCAGCCCTGTCCCTGCCCCTTGGGGCTGTCCTGTCCCAAAGGATGGGCTCTGTCTCACCCTCTCACCCTGCCCTTTGTCTCCTTTGTCATCCTGACTGTGGACTTCCAAGCTTGAATCTGGACCTGCCTCATCATCACAAGCTTGCCCGGAGGTCCAGGCTCAGGGCTGACCCCCCCTGTCACCCCTGGCTCTGTCCTAAGTGCTCCAGGTCAGAACCTTGGAATGGTTTGAGTTGGGAGGGAGCTCAGCTGGTTCCAACCCCCTGCCATGGGCAGGGGCACCTTCCACCAGACCAGGGTGCTCCAAGCTCTGTCCAACCTGGCCTTGGACACTCCCAGGGCTGGGGTCAGGGCAGGGATTGTCACCTCCACCAGGACAAACCACGGGGCACTGGCTGGCTGGGAGGGCCGGGAGCAGGTGACTGGACACCCTGAGGTTCCTCTGGTCTCCTGTTGCATGCTCTCCATGGAGCAGGTGACACCCTGAGCCTGGATCCTATTTATAGCCCCTGAGGAGGAGGTTCCTGTTGTGGCCAGGCAGGGAAATGTGCCTGCCAGGAGCTGGGGAGGGAGGGATTTGTTGTGCCCCCTTTGGCCCTTTCCAACCAGATGCAGCCCAGGACAGTCTGTCTGCAGGGAAAGGTGTCCCCAGCTGACAGTGCCCCTGGGACAAGGGCACCAGTGGGGTCACAGCAGGGAGGAAGATGTGCAGATTTGCACCTGACCCTGGGTCAAATCCTATTTTTGCCTCAACAAAGTGGGAAGGGCCAATCGGGGCACCAAAGGGCTTCTGTGGGTTTTCCTCCTGGGAGAAATCTCATCCCTCCAGGCACCCCTGTGCTTCCCACTCCCTCCTATCTGTGGGACAAATGGTAGTGGGAGCTGTGAGATGTAGCAGGAGTGTCCCACCACACACAGCAGCTCCTTCCTCCTCAGCTGTGCTGCCAAAACAAGGATGGGCCCCAAATATTGGGGGTCAAATTTGCCCAGGGAAGTTGTGATGCCCCATCCCTGGAAGTGTCCAAGGCCAGGTTGGACAGGGCTTGGAGCCACCTGGGCTAGTGGGAGGTGTCCCTGCCCATGGCAGGGGGTGACACTGGATGAGCTTTAAGGTCCCTTCCAACCCAACCCAAGCCTGGGTGTCATTTGGGATCCAGGGACGGTGGCACACACCGAGTCCTTGGTGGTAAGGAAGGATGATGTCGTGGATCCAAGGTTTTTCTGGGCTGCAGGGGCAGAGGTGCTGCCCACGTTGGAGCTCAGGGTCTCTTGGAGCTGGGATGGGAGCCAGGATGAGGTGACCTGGGATGGGGATGGGTGTCCAGCTGGTGGCACCTGTGAGTGTGTTGGGGCAAACCAACATCCACGAGGAGCAAGAGGGAAGGAGATGCTTCAGTAAAAGAACAGGGAAAAAAGTGGTGATCAAAGGAGTGGGATAAGCAATAATGGCAGGGACAGACTTCTGGTGGGATTATTTAATAATAAGGTAATTAATGCTTTATCCCTCACTGGCTCCTTTCATGTAAGGATCACAAAGCTCTTCACAAGCATTAATTAATCTTCCCCACCATCCCTGCAGGAAGGTCACTGAGCTCAGGGGAACGTTGTCATTGATGGAGGTGGCTGCTCCCTCTGCCTGACGGGTGCTGGGCTGTGATGGCAGGACAGGGAGGGCTCCAGCTCCTCACCCACGGCTTCCAGTGATTCCCCAGAACCTCCTCAGAGGGGAAAAATGTCTTTGAGCTGTCCCAGGCAGCCGGGACTGGGCGAAGGCTGCAGGGAGTGGTGTCTTCTCTGCGTGGTGTCCTGCCCTGGAGGGGTGGAGGGCCCAGCTTTGGGAGGGATCCTGGTGGGATCCTGCTGTCCCTGCTCAGCATTTCACACCTCTGGGGTTGTCCTTGTTCCCAGCTCCTGGCACTGGGGCCACCATGGCTGAGCAGGACCCGGGCACGGGCTGCCCACGTGGGAAGAAGGAGCTGCCAGGTCAGTGTGCAGCCAGGGGGGGTTGGGGGTTTTATCTTGGGTTTTTTTAGATGGTTTGTGAGAAATCTGAGTGTGGGACAGGGCTGTGAGGTGGGCAAGAGGCAGATTTGAGGTGAGGATGGAATGTCCAGCCATGGGGAAGGCACTGGGAACACGGCTGGGAATGTCCCCTGCTTGGCAGGGTCTGTGAAATACTGGGGTGGTAAAATTTGGGACAGCAAAACATTGGGATGGCAGAGGTGAAATCAGGAGAGGAACCAGCAGGACTTCAGAACAGACTGTGCTTGGGGGGACTCATCCTGCAGTCCATGATAAACCAAACCCTGAGCCCAAAGGGTGAGCATGAGGCTCGAGGGGGTGTGTTTGCCAGTGGTCCTGCACCTCTGGAAGCTTCTGCTCTCCTGTCCTGGCCCTGTCCCAGCTGTGCCTCCAGCAGCACCCCTCAAACTGGAATTCCCACCCCACCAGTGGGTCACCACGAGCCCAGTGGGACCATCGCTGGTCCTGGTGCCCTCTGGGAGGAGCTGGGGGGTGTCCTGGCTCTGGTGGGAGCTGGGGGTGTCCTGGTTCTGGTGGGAGCTGGGGGTGTGCTGGTTCTGGTGGGAGCTGGGGGTGTGCTGGTTCTGGTGGGAGCTGGGG